TGTTATTGTTGCTGTTACTGCTGTATTTACTACTTCCGTCATTGCTGCTGTTGCTCGTATATGTTGTTGCTACTGTGGTTCTTGCTGATGCTGCTGTTGCTGCTGCTGCTGCTGTTGCTGCTGCTGGTATTGCTGCTGTTGCTGAAGCTGTTGTTGCAGATGTTGATACTGTTGTTTTTGATACTGATATTGTTGTTGATATCATTCTCAGACAAGTCTCAATTCAAGTCAGCTTTAGCATCACTGTTGTATAACCGTGCTGCATGCCTCAGTAAAATGGGTGATGCTCTYGGTTGCATTAAGGACTGTAATGCAGCACTTGACCTTATCCCTGGAGCTGTTAAACCACTGGTTAAGAGAGCAGCCGCTCAGGAAATGCTTGAAAGGTAAAACAGGCTTCGAAACGTTTTTATAAGAAAATTGTAAAAGTCAATAGGATGTTTGCAAGATCACGTCATTAACCTCTACTACCAGACTCCCTTGCACACTTTCTTTTGTTCAGTTAATTAGCACCAATTGTCTTACTATTCTCATGAGGGAATACCATTTTAAATAAGAAAGAAAATTCGTAAAGCATCTTGGTAGTGGGAGTCAAATGATGCCATAATGCAAACATCCTATTGGGAAGACAACCAAACAAACAGACAGTCAGACAGACAGACAACTAGACAGACAGAAATGTAAACAGATAGACAGATGATCAGAAAGACAATCAGACAGTCAGAAAGAAAGCTGGAGAGAGAGATTAATTCATCTTGAGAAAATCAAATCAAATAGTTATTTTTGCAAAACCACATTGTGAAGAGGAAGGAAATTTTATGTTCATTTTTCCATGCCATTCTGTTTTCTGTGCTATAGGTATAAGCTGTCATATCTGGATTACAAATTAGCACTCTTTGTTGACTCCACCAACAAGCCTGCTCAGGAAGGGAGATCAAGGTAATAATTCCATTATTAAATMCAGTAGAACCAGCTATATTAAACACCCACCTCTTAAGCAACCAACCAATTCCAACAGATTTAGTGGCCACTCATTCTTCTGTATTTATTTAAAGCACTACAAGTTCCAGAACATTTTATGAATCTTCTTGGCAATAGAGTTTAACCATCCAAGATTATCAGCTTTTTTGTTAGCCAAAAAATTAATCCTCAATAGGGTGTCCTCTYTCTTGACTATAGTCAGACCTTTCAAAAATTTTATCTGTTGTTTGCTTTGTTTTACTTAGAGTTGCCAAGCACCTCAGTAATATGTATGGGCGTGAATGGAGAACAAAGCTCAAAGACRTTCCAAACCCTTCAACATCTGTATCCTCTGAACTGTTGAATACAGAAAAGACTCAGAATGAGCCTGCTCTGAATGTTATTAAAGATAAGAAACARACTGAAGATCACTCTACTAAACCCAGTGGTCTTCATAATGGGAAACCGTCAGTGCCACCCACGTTGAGTAAGGCTGAAAAGTTTGAGAAGAGCAAGGAAAGAGGCAATACTTTTGTCAAACAGGTGAATAACT